GAAAGTCTTGTTAGTCAAGGAAAATGTTACTTTCAGCAGGGAAAGAAGGTGCTATTGAGTTCTTAATGATCCAGTTGTTTTGCATAAGACATGAAGGTCACTCTAAAGAAGGTCATTTGCTTCTGCAAATCCAGTGGATTGCTTGCAAGTTCAAGCAGGGCATAAAGTGATTATCTGTGGGTGAAATGTGTTTCATGAATATCGCCATGGCCCTCCACAGTAAGTTAGGGCTACACACAGACATGTTAGTGTTTTAGGTCTTGCAGTCTGCCAGTTGATGTGCAATGGATGCCCACATTGTTCATTCACGACCAAGTTGCACATCTGCTCTAAAAGTAGGGTTGCTTCATACAGTCAGTTTGTTATTAGGGCTGTGGTCGAATGGGAGAAATGGTGTTATGTTTATGAAGCAAAACAGTAACAGAATGAAAGCATCAGAAATGACCATAGAGCTCCTCTGGTGTAATCCATATTTGCAGAGGAGTCTGCTAAGGTTCACATCAGTGAGAGGACACCAAAATAATCTTCAGAATATGCACAGCTATGAAGGGAAGTTAGGCTGGGTGAAACCAAACAGCTATTGGACTTGGAACTGGGATCCCTGGAGGGAAATCCTAGACCGGGCACCTAACTGTGTGGCATTGGACAAAGCACTTGACCTCCCTGTACTTCAGTTTCTTTGTCAGTGAAATGAAGTATTCTCTGCCTTCCTCAAGAGGGTAGGGCAGGGGCTAGAAATGGAATGATGGATGTGAAAGGGACTGAAGACTTTAAACCCCAGACCCAATCCAGCTTAAGGATGACTATGGCTTGGTAGGCGCTGTGTGTTAAGAGTATTGAACTCAAATGCCTTTATGTCCAGGGACTCTCCTCCCCACCCCGGCTCCATGAACTCTGTTTCCAGCCTGCCAGATCATTTGATTACCTCCCTGACTCCTCTAGATGTTCTGATTTGAGAAACCTTACACTGTTCATAGGTAGAACCTGTTTCATGAGATGCTGAAGTAGGTTATATCATCACTTCAGGGGTATTGGAAGGCACCACCATCTTCCTGCCCACCCCCCTCATCCCCCTCCCACAAGCCCAGCTTGCTGATGCCTGTAATTCTTTTGTACAGTTTCCTGGGGGAAAAAAAAAAAGCAAAAATCTGTGTTGGAAGGGGGGATAACATTTTGAGTCTCAGTTACGCTTTATAACTTGAGTAGATAAGTTGGCAGATTAAAAAACTATGACAACAGGTTTTTTTTTTTTTTTTTTTTTTTTTTTAAAGATTTATTTATTTATTATTTATACAAGCACTGGGTACAGTCAGAAGCGCGGGAGGGTGAGAGAATTCACCAGAGCCAGAGAGGGGAGCAGAGCAGGCAGAAGGACCGAAGCGGGTGGCAGGAGAGGTCTTTGCGCCATGTGGGACCCTCTTCCAGTGGCCGGGGAGCAGCCGGGGATCGAACCGGGGCTGCAGAGGCTGTGGGCAGCTTCGCAACCCAGCGCTCAACCGCTACGCCACCAGGGAGGCCCTGACAACAGGTTTTGATGGATGAACCTGAGACACTGACCGTGTGTTTTGGGGCATGTGTGGGTAGGAGAGGGAAACTCGGCCAACAGGTAGCAAGGGAATGCGAGTGATAGGTGGCTGGGGGAATTTGTCTCTCCCATGAGGAGAATACTGCCCTGGTGGTGGTGTTGGCAGAGGCAAATGAAATGGCTACGTGAAGGGCTCAATAAGAAAGTAACTACAGTTATTATTGTTTTCTTGATCTAAAAGAATCATCACTTTCCTCAGAAACTGGAATGGGAAAGAGGCAGATGGGTGATGTGTTGTCCGCTACTCATCCATCCGCGCTGCACTGGGCTCGATGACGAAGCTTATGTTCTCATTGTCTGGCTGTATCTCCTCCATGCCAAACACCTGATCACTTGAAAATAACTATATGCGGGACTGAATACTTCATTCATATCTGGCATCCTTGCCAAATGAAGAAATGCCTATTAGCTGCCCATCACAATCAGCCAAAATGGAGGCAATTTTATGGCCATCATAAGTGTGGGTTATCCACTATGTGATTATAGAAAATAATAACTTTTTCTTAGCACTTTTTATTTAATGTACCACATCTGAAATGAATTGAAATTGTGCCAAACTAGAAATATTCCTTGTGGTTAGATAATGGCCTATTGGAAACTTAAAATTTCCTGTTGAGGCAGCTGATGGAATCGACACATTAAATACCACCTTAGAGCGGGTGAATTTTTACAGGACTCTCTCTTACACTATCTTTTGAGAAAGATCGTCTGTACGTACTAGGGGTAGTTAAGGCAGGTAGAATCCTACAGGTTTTATGGATGAAGAAACTGAGAGATATGCCCTGCCCCAATTTCCTTGGGTACTGAGGTAGGGAATGAACACGCTCTGAAAGGGGGTGACCTGGCGTCACACAGCGGGAACTAGGAGACCCAGCCTGACCTCCTAGCCTTGCAGCCGTGAGTCCTGCTGCAGAGATGGCAGGAAGGAGAGGCCGACTAGACCCCAGCCTTCTCCTTTGCTGGCTGATTGCTTGATGGGAAGTCCCCCAAACTCCGTGGACCTCTGTCTTCTCATTGATATACCGGCGGGATGTGCAGAGGGGGCTTCCTAGGGCAATCATTCTAAGGTGAGCGTTTCATGATGCTTAAAATGAGATCAGGGTTGTGGAAGCATCCGGCACATCTGGCCCTCTACTGGGTGAAAATAGGCTTGAGGGTGACATGAGTCAGCCTAGCTACTGCGCAGCCACAGCATGCTCAAAGCTTATTGCTCAGAGCTTATTGAGAAGTTGCCTATGCCATGCTAAAAGCCCCACATAAATTATCCCTTGCAATCCTCACAGCAACCTTGTGCGGTAATTATTATCTTTGTTGGACTGAGGTATGGAATATTACACAGGTTCCCAAAGTATATACTTAAGTAAGGCTAAGCCCGGATTCAAGGCTTCACTGCCTCCTTTACTTATAGACTCGCAGAACTGAGAGGAACTTTAAAAATCACCTGGGCCACATGTCTCATTAACTTAAGACCTTCGTTGCAAATTTTTTTTTTTTTACTAATCAAAATACTGTCGTTTGTGAAACATTGACTTTTGATTATGGTTCAAGTAAATTAAATATATTTACAGTAATTCTTAGAATGATTCTTGTTTTGTACTTTGAAATGCTTTCTTGAGAGAAGAAAGGGGGAGGTATACCTAACAGGTTGGGCTTGTCTGAGGGCCCCTGTGCGTCTTGCTGACCTGGTGGAAACAGGGTATGGCCCTTGATGCCTTAGACCAGCACCTGCCAGAGGCTGCAGGAAGGGCACAAAGGAGTTCACTTGGGTAAGCCCTGTCTGGGTTGAGCCCTAGAGGATTCAGCCCAGACTTAGCTTCTTGAGCCAAGTCCAACCGGAATTTTGCAAATTCCAGTCAGCTAATTACTTTGACAAAGTTTAATTTAGCATATGTTTCTGCAAGTATGTCTGAGAGATCCAGTCCCAGAGTTGAACTGATACAGGAGATAGGAGGGTCCAGCTAGCATTCTGTCCAGTGGGCCAGAGCCACACACTTGTCTGGAATATTAGCACAGAGAAAGGTGCTGCGTAGAAAATAAGAAATGAAAGCTTCCAACTGGCGTTTAGCAATATCCAGGACTTTCTCAATGTGATTCTTTTCCACTTGGAAGAGGGAAAAGTGGGCTGTCGGTGAAGGCAGAGAGGAATGTCGGGCACCCCCGAGGATAGGAGAGTATAGTTGTCCTCACAAGCTGGCAGTGACAGAGCCCATATATGCGTGCTTTTCCCTGATAATTTACAGAGCCCATCTTTGGGAGCAGTGAAAGCAGAAGCCACAGCACATTCAAGACTGACAACTAAGTATTTAACAATGAGGCAAAATTCTGATGAATTTTGAATATAGAAGCAGGATTTTCAGATACATGTTCATCAATCTATTGAAAAGTTAATGCTGTTCTATAAAGGAAAAGCCCTGTTTTTTCCCTGTCCTTCTCCTTTACTGTCACACTGGACGTTTTATTTCTGACACTCCTGGAGGCCAAACATAAGAAGGCGTTTCCCCTCCACGAGTAATTGTAACACCAGCTGGGTATCCTACAATTCAACTCATTTCTGACACTACCTACCTATAGGTGGCATCGGATCCCACAGGATTAGCACTCAGGCCCACAAAACTGTCCCCACCCCGCTTCACATGCCAAGCGTGAGTAGCTGGTCCCCAGGTTACCCACAACCTCTGACATGTCAACAAAACCGAGCTTTTTGGGTACCCTCCTCAGCTGCAGTCAATTTGCTTGAGCAGTTCATAGGATTCAGAGAAACGCTTATTTACATTTACCAGTTTATTAAAGAATATGATAAAGGATACAGATAAATAGTCAGACGAAGTGACACAGAGGGTGAGGTCTGGGAGGGGTTCTCAATGCTGGAGCTTCTGTCCTTGAGGAGTTGGGGTGTGTCATCTCCTGGTGTGGAGGTGTTCACTAACCTGGAAACTCCTAGAACCCTTACTATTGGGATTTTTATGGATGCCCAATCATGGAGGCATTTCTAACCCTTCTACCTTCTCATGGGAATGGAAGGGAGGCTTAAAATTGCAGGTCTGTAATCATGGATTGCTTTCTGGTGACCATTCCCCCATCCAGGAGCCAGCCAGACGCCCAGCCGTAGTTTCCTCATTAGAACAAAAGATACCTCTATCACCCAGGAAATTACAAGGGCTTCAGAAGCCAGGGGCAGAGACCAATATTTGTTTTCCATTATCTTACATATTCCAAATTCTTTAGACTAGGTCTGTACAAACACATGAAGTTTGTCGGTACAATCTAAGCAGAGTACAAAGTTGCACAGTTACCCAAATAATTAGATTCTGGGGAAGTTTTCTCAGATCATCCAAGCCAGTACTCCCCTTTTCTCATGCTCTTCCTGCCTCCCCCCACCCCCCTGCCTCCCCCCCACCCCCCCACCATTGCCGGTTTTCCCCTGGCATAGTTTCTGTGTTACCTACATACAACTACATCACCTTCCCATTTCGTTTTGACTGTCTAGACATGGGCCTTGGCACACATATTCACATAAAATACAGTGGCTGTTCCAAGGGAATTGGATAAAGTACACTGATTCAAAGTCTGTTTTCCTTTCTGCACCTCCAGTCAGAGCAAAGTAAACTGTGTATTAGTAATTGCCAAGTGGATTAACTTGGATCTACTCTTTAAATCTAAAATTTTGGACTTGCTTTCAGAGATCCAAATTATTCAGATGATTGTCTAATCCCTACCAGGCGGACATTTCCAGGCACACAGACATGTTTTCATGTATGTTTAGGTTATGTGGATGATCCAAATAATTCCAAGGTCAAATACTTCCTTTTTCACTCATGTCCATCCTTGAATTCTTGGAATACCTGCCTTTTACTTTCATTGGCTTCTGGGGTCATTTCAGTGTCTTGTGAGCAAGAGTGTCTATTCAGGACTGTTGCTGACAGTCAAAATGGAGAATCTGAGTGGGTGTTGGGGATAAATTACCAAAGAAAGGCAAGAGCTCCTGCTCTCAAGGAGCTTACATTTCATTTTATACTCAGCTGTTGCCCTGTTGCCCAACAAAAGGATGAAGAGACTATGCAAATGTTGTGATGGTGGCTGAGTCAATGGCAAACATGTAGTTGTACCAGTTAAATCTTTCAGTTTTGAAATGGTCTCCAGGTAGATATAGTCATATTGGCTAAGATTACACAAGTAAATTGATATTGGGAAAGTGAATTCATCTAAATGATACCCTCTAGAAAACTAATTCCAAGGTGTGCATGACTGTATTTAGTGATACCATAAATGAGGTGACTGTTAAATCTGAGGTAGGATAAAATATGGTTATGGGTTCTATCCTGACCACATCCTCCACTGACCTATTGCCCTCCACTTTTGGGGTTTCGGAAAGAAAGAAAGTATTGAGTGAGAAGGTTAATGGAATGGGGGGCCTTCCTTAGAGCTTTAAACCCACAGGGCTGTAGAATTAGATATGGAGTTGGAGGACTTCCCCACCCCCAGATCATTGCACTGATGGAGCTGAACAACAATGCACACATGATAAAAAGAATTTTTATTTGAACTTGAAATGCATTGTGTAATGATTTTCCTCTGCAGCAGATACATGGTTCTAATTATATTTTGTTGGGCTATTACTAAATTATCTGTATCATCTGAATCTATAGCAAGTTTCTGCATTGCATGAATTAAGAAACTGGGAAAGGATAGTTTCCCATTTAATTTTTGTGACAGACAAGTCACATGTGGATAAACAAGAGTTAATTGATTGTAATTCATAGGGAGCATCAAGTGCTGAATGTGTAGGCATTCCTCCAAAGACTATGAACATTCTAGTCCCAAACCACTGAAAACCAAGTTAAAGCAGCTTTTTTTCATACTAGCAGGTGCATTTGGCCCCAGGTACCCAGACATCAGCCTGGCCTTTCTATCTACTGTGCTTCTGCCTCAGACATTAAAATATTCTCTGGGCAGAGCCTTTTCTTCTATTGGTTTCTGTGGGCAGCCCAGGGGAGCCAGATATAAGTTTTGCTGGTGGCCTATCATTTCCATAGCACATTTTGTGAGATTGGGCATTTAGGGCTGCAGTTTCTTCAGTGACCACACATTCTTGGCCTTGGTGTTTTCTCTTGCAGTCTGGTTCTCGGGTTTGGACAAGATCAGATGGCTACTGTCTCCTGGCTTGCTGTCAGCCCGTAAGGAAGGATGCCTGCAAAATACCATAGGCACCAAATGTCCGCTGTGAGGATGAGGCTGTCTGGCAAAGGTGAATGGTGTCCAGGAGAATTGCTTAGGAGAAATGCACCAGTAGGTACTGATCAACCTTTTTGGGTGTGGTTTTCATTTCAAACTTTTATTGAAGGGACTGCTGGTTCAGAGACCTGTGTGAAGCGGAATAGCAGGTGCAAATACAATGGCTCTAGTGGTTTAGGTTCACTAACGGCTGAATGCCCACTTGGATCAATTTCCCATCCCAACTTCCCGAGAACTGAACCTATGCCTCTAGACTGTGAGCTTCACCCCCTCTCCTCCCGCCCTGCCATAGTTAGGATGGGACCAACACTGACTTGTGACCACAGCCACATCAGTAGGTGCATGGTCTAGAGCCAACAAGTCATGCTGCCTATACCATTGGCCACCACCATCATTTACGACGTGGACATGAAAACCAAACTGAGCAATCAAAATTCATCCCGGAAGTTTTCTGGGAGGTATTAGGGAAATCCTCTATCTACAGTGGCTGTTTATGTATTTATTTATTAGTACCTTTTAATTTTTTGAATTGAGGTAACATTGATTAACAACACTGTATGTGATTCACAGGTCTAGGTTCACACCTCTTCAGATGCCTGTCACCACCCCACACCCTCACCAAGGCACCCACAGTCCTCCACCCTAGTCCACTGTGACCAACCTTCTTTCGTGTTGGAGGCACTAGTCTGAATTTCGCGGGACAAAAGCCATTTCTATGATACCTCTGGTCTCATCAGGGTGGAGGGACAAGTCATTTTTTTTGTCAATGTTTTCAACACACATTCCTTGCAATGCCTTCACGTGGAATCGTTTCAAAAAAGTAACCAGTATGGTTTTCATCATCACCATGGCGATGTACTTTCCTGCACAGCCACGGGGCCCAAAACCAAATGGCTGATAATACCTGAAAGGAACCTGTGAAAATGATCAGACAGTTAGCCAAAGCAGTAAAGGCTAGAGTCATACACCTCTCTGCTGAGTTCACCCTGAAAACACTGGTCAGTCCGAACGCTCTGTTCCCGGGTCTCAGCCATACTGCCCCAGCACTGAGGTGAGTAACTGTCCCTCAGGTTAACCTTTGCTCCAGTCAGTTTGATGGACCCTTTGTGCTCCACTCCCAGACTTGGATGGTCCCCAGTTTTGCTTTTCATAAAACGCTCAAGTAGCTCTGGAGGATGGACACCACTCTGCTACTATTCTGCAGTTTCATCTAGGCAGAGCTTGTGTTTGTACGGTAGTACATAATTTGATGACAGAGGATAAATTTAGGCAAAGATGCAGATTCTTGGCCTCTTGGTGCCAAAGAACCAAAATATTCTTAGCTATGCAAAAAATTAACTGGCACCACATCTGTCTGTCTTGTCCTTTTTTTGGACTTACATAGTGCTGAGGACATAGTGATGCTTAAGTTTTTGTGGATGAATTGCTGGCATGGCAAGAGTTGCTCATATAGAAACAGAATGAATAGAGGACTGGATTAATTACGATCACGTTTCTCCACTATAGACTATACAAATGTGAAGTTAAGGGCACCGAGGAAACTATTATTTGGATAATTCAGGTTAAGAACCATCATTGCCTAAAATTTGACATAATAGGAGTAGAATCTCCAGTATATTTCAATGATAGAAAGAGTTGAAGCTCTTTAATTACTGAGCCCTGTTTAGAATGGAATGTAGTGCTCGTGGGTCATTCAGTGAAAGACAGAATGGCAGAAGACAAATCTTTTATCTCATAGGATTTCCACTTAAAGCAAAAGTGGACTTCCTTTGTGTAGATGATCCTGCAGCAAAATTTATCATTTTGATAAAATTCGTCAAAATGACAAAGCGGTAAGTTTAAATGGAAAAGAAAGGTGGTGGGTTAAACAAAATTTGTTTGTTTTAGTTAAATTGAGGGCCTGGCTGTTGCACATTTTAATCCATTGTGTGGCCACCAGAGACACTTCCCAGTGCTGGAGATCCAGCATCCTTCACTTGAGGACGAATATAGAAGTCTCATTGCAAGCTAGGCGAGGTGTGTGTGCCTGGTGTAAGGGAGCAGAAGGGAGCGAGTAAATAGAATGGGATGTGCATAGTGGAAACACAGAACCAGAATGATGTCCAACGGTTCACATTTTCAAAAGTGGCACACTCTGTTTTAAAAAAGTGTTCTTACATTCTTTTCAAAGTTTTCAAGAGTAAATTCATTGGGCCTGGGGAAAAACTCGAGTCTATGCATTCTTCCAATATTCAGGATGATGTTAGTCCCCTTTTTCACTGGGTAGCCATCGATGACATCATCTTCTAAGGCTTTGCGCATGACCACATCTACAACTGGCTGGTAGCGCATGCTCTCGTAAATGAAATTTTCCATCACTTTTAATTTTTGTATGTCATCAATCCTTATCTCTCTTTCACCTGTGAAGAAAGATAAAAAGGACAAGGAAGGTAATATTAATTTCAATGTGTGATGGGCATTACAACTGCTAGAGCTTTCACAGAACAATTTGTTTTGGTTAAAAACATTTTATATCTGTAATTCTAATATAAATCATCGACCTGAGTCAAATACATTTTGTTTGAGCCACATTGAAACCTAAATATCTTTAAACCTGAGGGATTTCATAGAAAAGCTTGGACTTCTAGAAAAATATGAAAGCTTGGTAATACTGGACCCACATCCCCACATAACAGCATGTTGAGTAGCCAGTGAGATTTTGAGGGGCATTTGCTCTGCAGTCCCTTATAGACCTACTCAACTCACTTTCAACATTTATCTCCCTGGCCTCTGAAGGGTTTGAGTTTTGTCCCTCACCCTGAATTCTATGAAAAAGTCATTCCTTTTCTAGTCAAAGTGAGAAAGGACATTTAACCAGTTTCAATGAAATTTTCTCCTCTGGTTACCTATGTAGTCATCAGCACAGAACATGTTACTGATAGTTTCTCCATCTAATTAAGAACAATCTATTGCAGTAAAATAACAAGAACCCCCTACTTTCACTACAAGAAAATGGGTGCCTCAGATCAGCCCCAGGACAGCACATCCACTGTTTCCCTGACACTAGTCAGAGATGCTCAGATTACTCCCACATTTGGCAAAGCTTCACAGCATCCTCAGTTGAACTATTTGGTGCCCAACATCCTGAGGCAACCCTTCTCTGTACAGATATGCCATCCAGGAAGAGGCTCATCTGGTCAGAAAACTCACATACTTCCCTTTATACACTCAAGGGTCTGATGAGGTGTGTTTGTCTGGGGTGAGGAGCTAGAGGGAAGATGACCAAGAAGCTAATCAAAAGCTTTCACTAGGAAGGAATTACAGTGTGTCTGTGTCACAGCTACATGTGCCAGGGGTTCTGCTGTTTTTCTACTTGGCAGAGGTCTGTTGAAGTGTCAAGCGGCCGTCTTGTGGCACAAACACTTTTCATCTTTCAAAGAAGTTGTATTAAAATTGTATTTAAAGTCTTATGATCTCAAGATAAACCACCCTCCCCAGACTCCATCTCTGTGACTCTCTTCATTCCACTGAATTTGCTTGTTGAGGCAACTCTCCCACTTGCCTCCCAGACAATTGCCCTCCATGAAATTTTCTCCAATTGTTAACTGTTTCAAGTAGCATTCAAATGATTTTAAAAAGATGGTGCCTTACCACAACCAAACTATTGTCAACCAAACACATGTCAGAAATGTGTTCCTTAAAACACTGTCCAGGTGAAAAGTACTCCAAATAAGGAATTCTGTTTTCTTGCAGAGGGCAATTCTGATTTTTTCTAAAAGTAGCATGTTTTTCTGGAAAGGTAGTAACATCAGGAGCAGCGGGCAGAATGATGCTGAAGCAAAGGTAAAGCAGGGAAGAGGTGGTGTGGCGGAGGGGAGAGCTGAGGCAGAATCTAGGGGCCCCCCTGCAAAGGAGGAGGAGAGGACAGTGGGAAGATGAATTTTGGGAGAAGGAAACTGATCACTCCCCTGCCTTTGCGCTCAGCCTCTCTTCTTCCTTTTGCAATCAAACGGAAGTTCATTCGTGGATGAACTGCTCGAGATCCAGAAACTGCTACAAATGTCAGCCATTTCCCAGTGTGGACCCACACATCTTTTGTCTGATAATGCAGACAAAACATTGTATTTGATCCCATGCTGTTGATTTATAAAATACAACCATGTGTATGTGTTTATGTGCGCACCCCTCACCCCCGCAAAAAAGAGCTTGAAGAATATACAGCAAAAACCAGTGGTTCTCCCTGGAGAATAAGAACGAGCCTACTACAGTGGAAGGGATTGGATGTCACTTTTCCACTTTGAATGTCTTTCTATTTCATTTTTTAAAATTAATATGTGCTATTTTTATAACCTAAAAAAACCCATAATTTTCTTTTCAACTGCTCTGGCATAATCAAAATGTGACAGGATATATCAAATATCATACCAAAAAAAAAAAAAGCCAACGATGTAAGAAAAAAAAAAAAGGGTGACAAAGTTATGTTCTATTGTTCTCTAATGTTTGACATTAGATGCTTAGGACATAGTTGACATTTAAAAGGAATTGCTTCATAAGACTTTTTATTTATTTAATTAAGGCTTACCAATAATAGTCCTGATTTCCTTCATCATCTCCTCTTCAACCTTAGGATGCTTTGCAATGAGAAGTAGCATGAAGAACACAGAGACAGACATGGTGTCTGGTGCTGCAATCAGGATTTCCAGTATGCACTGGTTCACATTCTCCTTTGTCAGGTCGCCACGTTTCTCAGTAATTAAAAGAGAGAAGAACCATTGGCAAAGTGAATCAAAGTTTCAAAAAGGGATGGGAGGTGACAGTCATGGATCAACAACCTCTCAACAAAAGGAAATCATAGAAATGTCAAATCTCTGTAATTGACTATGAACATTTTTCATGACCATCTGTAGCTGAAAGCAGCACAATTTAACCAATGACTGATGTATTTTATGTCTTTGGACACTGATGTTTTCAGTGTAGTGTGTAGGAAGGTTAATTTCAGTCCAAAGTACTACCAGAATGTCTACTGAGTGGGCAAAGGAGTTGTAGAAGAACTAGAGAAAATTAAAGCAGAAATAGGAAAATTTTACACACCAAACAGTCATACACATATGTGGGAATTATGGTTGGTCTGGCTCAATACCTCGGCCAAAATCAGCTCAGTGGCAAAATCTATATTGTCTTCCAGTTTGTCTGCTGTGGAAATTCTGCACCTTTTTTCTTCTATCATAACTTCCAGGACATCTTTCAAATCCTTGCTGGAAAAAAAGAAGTCAGAACATAATCTTTCTGTATTCACTTAAGCTATCTAGAACACCACCTTCATTTGCCATTTGTTTAAACAAAATGACCTGCCTAAATTGAAACCATTAGTACTCATGAGTAAGTGAATTTATATCTTATATCTTCATAAATATTCTTAAATTAAATGTACATTACATACTTCATGTTAAGGAGTCAGAGTAGGTTGAGTTTCTAGGTATTGGTAGCAAAATCAAGGATGCAACTTCTAGTTAATGTTTAAAAACTGGTACCTAAATACTAAATCCACTCATGGTTTCTGATTTTTCATTGACCAGGACAGTATTTATGTTCAAAAAGAAAAACCAGCAGAAACCTTCAGTGGGGTCATGCCATGGCCACCTCTGTTTGCCGTTGCCTTATAGCTACCCAGTTAGCTTTCATTTACCTACTCCTGAAGTCTGTGGAATTTGAGACTTCAGTTCTGGACGGCAAACTCAACCGATGGAGTATTAGTCTTCTTATTTATTTTTGTACCTTGTAGTTTCTGTCACATTGTTAAAATTAAGCAAATATTTGTTGAGTGAATAGCTGGCTGCAAAAAAATGTGCTTAGGCATTTTGACAGTATGTCTGAGGGAAGACTCTGGCTGGAGGGTCAAGTCCAGATGGTTCTCTTTCTACATAACCTACTTTAAGTCTCTAAGTCTTTATTTATTTATTTATTTATTTATTTATTTATTTATTTATTTATTTATACAAGCACTGGGGTACAATCAGAAGCGAGGGAGGTGAGAGAATTCACCAGAGCCAGAGCGGGGAACAGAACAGACATACTGATGAAATACACTGCTGAGGGGAGCAGCGGGCAGCAGGAGAGGTCTGTGCGCCCTCTCTGGCGGCCGGGGATCGAACTGGCGCTGCAGAGGATGTGGGCAGCTTCACAGCCCAGCGCTCAACCGCTGCGCCACTGGGGAGGCCCAAGTCTCTAAGTCTTATGTCTCTTTTAAAGTGAAGAGTTCAGACTAGATCAACAAAAAGGCACCTTGAGATCTAAATTCTGTTTAGGATTTAGACAATTCCTTTGTCTTTAAATATATGAGTTCATGTAGAAATGTATTGCTTCCCGATCTTTGGGAAACAGTATTCCACATTACTTTCAGTGTACAATAAATCTTTCAAATTCTTATTGATATGGGCACCTATACACTTATATAGCCTATTGATGCTGTTGACATACATAACCTCTACATTCCACAGGAACTCCAGTTCCACAGAAAAAGTAAAGGAAGAGTCTTTGCGTTTCCTCCCATTAGGGTCATACATAAATGTATACATCTAAATGTATGTGCCCTTAAAATCTGGGAAAACTGAGTTCAATGACAGTTTTCAGGTAGTAGGAATTCTCTGACTTAAAAATGTGTATTAAAAGGATGCATCTGGGGCCTCCCCTGGTGGCGCAGTGGTTGAGCGCTGGGCTGTGAAGCTGCCCGCAGCCTATGCAGCGCCGGTTTGATCCCCGGCCACCAGCGGGGTCCCATGTGGCACGTAGACCTCTCCTGCCGCCCCCACTGCTCCCCTGAGCAGTGTATTTCAGTTAGTCTGCCTGTTCTGTTCCCCGCTCTGGCTCTGGTGGATTCTCTCACCCTCCCATGACTGTACCCAGTGCTTGTATAAATAAAATAAAAAATAAAATAAAATAAAATAAAAATAAAAGGATGCATCTGTGAGTTTGTTGTTGGAACTCTGAATATATTTTACAACAGAACACTGGTGGCTAGGTTACCAGTCTAGGTCACAAACAACCACTTAAGGTATTCTGTGGCTGAAAGGCCTTAAAATTGACCCAGAAAAATGTACAAAGCAGCACCGCTATAATATTGGTAATAAAAAGGCAAAAATATGAAACCAAATAAATAGAGGTAAAGGTAGACATCCCTGAATCCATTCCATAAATGTCTTTTAAATGTGTCAATATTATTAACAGCATGGGGTGGATATTTTAACAAATTCTCTAGACCTCTACTTTTCTATAATATAGGAGATATAAACCAGTGCAGTGACCATTGGCAAATGTTATGTAGAAAGGGAATATTGCTGGATTAATTACTATAGAAACCTAAGAGAAACCGTTTTATAATCTCATGTAATAAGTTTCTATGAGTCTGTTGGCCAAGACTGAAGCTAAATTAATGACCAGGAACTATACAGGCCACCACCAGATCTGACCACAGTGAAGAGATGATTCCTTTATGCCATTGATTGAAGACACAGTAAGATCTGGTGGAAACGAAGTTAAATGTTTGAGGTGAATGTGATAACCACTATACCACAGAAATGTTCCAAAATTAAATGTTCAAAGAACCAAATCCACAAATGAAATCTATAAAGAACCAAGTATCCAAATCATTCACCTAATACTCATCAACCACTTGAGACTATATATATAAAGCAACATCAAGTTGGTTGCTTTTCTGGAAACAATATTGAATTTCAAAACCTAAAAATTGGATAGAGTTGTGTCTTCAGACAAGTTTGGGAACTTTTAAAGATGGAGAGTTAAGAATGGGGAAACGAACATATTTAGTGCCTACTATGTATCATGCTCTGTGCTAATTGCACTCTATATATAACCTCTTAAGCTTATATTCCCACTCTTGGGGGTAGGGTATATTTTACTTTAACTTCTGAAGGTGATTTAATTACTAAATGGTAGAGACAGGATACAGACCAAATCTGTCTGTCCCCTAGATTCCACTGGTGGCTAGAGGTGGCCATTTTTAGTGGTTGTAACACTCTAAAACCCACAGATCAGCCTACAGGCCATTAGATATTAGTTCAGTCTTTCAGTGGACTATTTTAAATCCATTTAATGACAGTTTTGGATTCCCCAATGACTTAAAATATGTAACTAAAAAAATACACATTGAGTTAAAATTCATTAATTTCAACATGAAAAAATTCAAACTACCATCAATTCCTACAAGTTGAATTGTGTTGAAATTCATTTAAAAGCAACACAAGCATAAAATGATTCCATGTTTCCATTTTGGAAGCAAAATGGAGAAAGAGAAATGGTAAGTTCAGAGAAATGGATGGGCTCTGAGACAACCCACTTGGCCTCTTTGCTGAGAAATAACCCCAGTCAAAGGCTTCTCTTACTCTTTGGTCTGGCCACATGTGGCCAAATTGCTGTAAGAAGTGTTTCATCAGCAACTTAATCCACTGCTCCCTCATGAGATCTGGAGAGCAGAAAACTTGCAGGGGAGACCAAAAATAACAAAGACACAAATGAAAAACAAAACCAAAAATGAACCCAGTCTCACCAACAAATTTCCCCAAGTTGTGTTACTTACACAGACTTTTCATACTTTCTGTATAGCCAGGAAACCTTAAAGAAGATGTCTGGTTTGAGAAGGAGAGCTTGCCATGCAATAAAGTAATCCTGGATTTTAACCACGATGGCCATTTCTGAAGAAATTACAAAAAAAAAAAGAGCAGTTGAGCAAAACTGTGAGCCAAAGGAGGGTATCATGATCAGAGACCATCCCCTGTATATTGTCCTACTAGACTGGTGTTCTTGGCTGGCCATGTTTCCAATTTGAGCGGGCATTTTAAGCCACATGAATGCCACTAGGCAAAACAAGCACAGTTTATTCTGCTTTGCATCTCAATCGATCGTGTTAACCAGAGATTTCTCTGTTTTTGAAAGGTCATGCAGGAGGTCGGAATGCAAAAGCCCACCAGGAAGCCCACCTAGAAAATTCAGACAATAAGCCTCTTCCTGCCCTTCAAATCTTTTCGCAATGCACCCTACAAAGTTTTTACCCCCCCACCGTCCTGCAAACCCAGTTTCCCACCTGACCTCTCCTTACCCTATAAAAACCTGCCTCCACCTGGCAATGTGCACAACTTCACTGACCCCCACCTTGGGTCAGTGAATCCCACCAGGGGTGCAATAAATTTTCCCCCACTTTGAGAAATTTAGCCTGGCTATCCTTTTCTTTACCACGCCGAATCTTTGAGTTTTTAAGTTTGTGTTTGAGACACAGCGTGGAATCTCACATGACCCTCTTTACCCGAGCCTCCACTCCTTCCTGTTTTTCTGGACGATGGGAAGTAAGAAGGGCACACGTAATTATGAATGTTCTGACCTCAGTTCTACCCCATAGAAGGGCAAAAAGCCATGCCACTCTCCAGGTAGGCAGCCAGCAGTTGCATTTTAACTTCATTTGGTGCTGGATAAGTAGAGCCAGTAAGTGGATAATCTGTTTAGGTTATATAACTAATTAATAGCTCTTGCTTGCATTCTTACATTGTAGTTCTTTATTCATATATTTTTTTTCATAGCACTTATCACATAGCTTTCACATTTGTAATTGGTCCAGAGTATGGAATTCATCGTAGTATTTTCAGTGCCTTGTCCTGAACCACAAGCATGGTCTACTCTTAGTAAATAAATGGTCTTTAATTAAAAGACTAAAATTAAATTTCATTGAATGGTCTTTAATTGCATACTAAGGGAAAGGAAATCTCTTTTTCCCTCAAATTATACAAAAGAGAAAGGAATAGATTCTTGAAACTTCTTGATAGGACTTCATTTAATCCTTACACTCTTGCAAGGGGAGTAATAGCGTTAACCATTTTGCAGATGAAGAAACCACAGTTCATAGAAATTCAGAAGCTTGCTCAACACCATATAGTCAGGGTGGTGGGCAGGCCCTGCGACAAGAGCCCTGTTTTGTTGGACCTCAGTACAATGTCCTTTCCTCTTTGTCACATTGGGTCTCTTAGGTAAATTGAGAGTTTAACAAGGACCCAATGAGGAGAAGGAAAAGAAACATAATTTTGTGTGAGCTTTCCTGTGAATCAAAGCTAGTGGAGAACCAAGGAGCAGGGACTTACAAAATTTGTCCAGTAAGCACCTAACGCGTGGCTAGGTTCCTGAGAAAGTCAACTTTAAGCAAAACTATGTTTGATGAAACTAGGTCCTCCCATTACGTTATTTCATTCAACAGGCCAGGATTTCTTTTCTCTCGTCAATGTTACAAGGAAAAAGTGCTGCATGGCATGTTATCTGAGGACCTGCCATATGGAGGTAGTCCTTGCTTTTCGTGTTATGCTGCTTTGTGTTTACGAAAGCTCTACATTGATACCTCTTTTCACCAACTGAAGGCAAGCCAAAGGGGATTTTTGCTTTTATGACAAAAGACAAGAAGCTTTCCGCATTGGCTTGGAGCAGCAGTTGGAGAGGCAGCTGCATGCTGAGTAGCAAGAGTAGTAACCCGCCAGGCTCCTTGCCTGGGGACTGCTTTCCTCAGCTGTGGGCTTGTCATATTCTTCCTGCTCTTGTTCTGTGTTAGTGTGAGTTTAGATTTTATGTTTTATTTGGTGTCATTGGGTAGGGTATTTTGGGGGCCTTGGTATACTTAAACTTTTCTCCCATATGAATGAATGAATGGTAATTGTGTTTTCGCTTAATGTCCACTATGAAGGGTTCCAGAGGGGTACTCTGCTTTCAGACAGCGGGCGAGATCGGTACCTGCCTAACCTCAGGAGAGATGTGGGTGGGCCAGGCGAGCTGGGATTGCAGTTCCTGTCTGAAGGGGGATCAGGCAAGAGAATATGACTGAAAACCCCCAGAGGACTCCCATCCAAATGGCAACCAGAGGAGTTTCCATGGCTCTTGTAAGCAGAAATGAAAGAGCAGGGGAGATGGGGCAAGGAGAGATGGAAAAGAGAACGGGAGGGTTTATCAACTCGCCCACATGTGGGAAATCAGACAGCAGGTGTTTTCGCTCCGTTGGTTTGGTCAAGAGTTACAAGACCTTGTTCTTATGCTTGTAATGTTCTTCCCTCACCCCTGTATTTGACTTGTGGCTTCACTTCACTTAGGCTTAGGTTTGGCTGTCCCCTCCACAGAGGCCTTGTCCACTGCCGGTCACCTCCCCCTTCACTGTCTATCCCCTTGCCCCGCTTTGCTTTTCCTTCAAGGCACATATTGTTACCTAATATATTACTAGATATTTTCTTGCTCTTGTTTCATTTCCCCACTAGACATAAACTCCTCAAAGCGAAGAACTTTATCTGTTATGTTCACTGCTCTGTTCCCAGAAGCAGGAACAGCACATGGCTTAACATGGACAGTCAGCAAATAGTTGCTTAATGAATGGGTGAATCAATGCACTCTGCTGTAAATCAGTTCAGAAAAAAATTGCATCAAGCTAGATGTAATGTCAGTAGCAGAAAGGAAATAATACAGAGGATTATTTTTTTTTTTGGTGGTAGTAGAATTGCATGTATGTGCTTTAATATTCATTACTGCAGTGTAGTGAGGAAAGTGGCTTTTTGAATATGAAATCTCGTTGTAAATGACAAGCCATGTGTAAAGCCACTTGGCACATAGTATCCTACACAACAACAGCAGCTCCATTATCATCATATAGAGTCACAATTTTCATGCTTAATAGTTTTGAGGAAGGGTTATGTATGTATATTTATATAAGGGAGAGAGCATGTGTTTGTGTGTAAAGCCAGATAATGTGCATGTTATACATACATACATATACATGTATACAGACATATACATCATGTCCAAAAGAATGGTTGGAAATGGTTCATACATCAGTTTGGTTGATGTTAAGACATTAATGACCAAATGAACTAATCACGTTTGTTAAATTTTGACTGTGGGTAAGACTCTTAGAACAAGAAATAGAAGATGCTCTCTTACTTTATGGAATTTATATCTTCTAAGTGAGTAAGGCAGATACCCTAGGGAAAAAAATCCTAGAACACGTAGAAATATTCAAACAAGAGCAATGTACAAAGTAACATATGATTACTTGACTCTGTTGTCCCTCTTATCCCCTTACTCAAAAAATCAGGAGAATGTCAAGTCAGGAGAATGAAAATTTTGGTACCGTCGATGGGGATCCCCAGGAAGAGCTCGTTGGAGGTGTCCAGCGTGATGCACCGCATGAATTTTATAACGTCCACGGAGCCCGTCTTGCTGGTGAACTCCTTCAGCCTGTCCAGATGAGTCACGACGGAGTCAACACAGAAGTTCACCATACGCACAAGCCCCGGGCCCGACAGAGCTGAAGAGGACACATCAGACAGTGAGCTGCCCTGCATCCATGGCACACATCAGGTGACGTAGACCTTTTGTGTTTGGAGCTACTCATTCACAATTTTCTTGTCTCTGCTTGAGTGGAAATGTCCACATTTCTCTTTATACTTTTCTGTGTTCTCCTAATTTTCTACAAGGAATGTTCTACCATTATGGTTAAGAATGAATGAAAAAATAAATATCAAACTATTCAAAATTAGGCTTTTTTCACGCTACAGTATGTCATTTAAGAGATTGCAAATGAAACATTTAGTACTTGTGGTCATAAATTGCAAATCAGTGATCTTTCATATTTATGGACGTATTTTCCTCTAAAGGTTTAAACAAGAGCAATGGATTTGCCCAGGCTGTTATTAATTTTATGTTTTAACTGGTAGCAGGATCCTGCTATATAACCAGTCAAATCTGACCTAAGATACTTCCTGTTAATTGCAGGTTATGTGTATTAAATGCTAATCTTATAATTTACCTTCTCTTTACTTTGGTTTCTCCTCAAACTACTTCCAGGTTTATTTTATTCAACCAATGTCTTAACAGCTAACCAAGGATGTTTGCTCGGCAGTATTTCCCATCGTACTGGCAATTCTTTTAAAACAGTGACAATCTCCTATTAGCATTGTCCTACCAGTCCATAATAACTAGTGGCCCTCAATACATAACTGTCGTATCAATGAATGAATGAATGAATGAATGAAATCAGATAGTGTGACCTGTCTCTTTTCTCAACCTTTGCTCCGAACCTAAGGGTCTGAGCAGCTGTGGTAGTTGGTCTATCCTGAGAGTTTAACTTTTGAAGTCCCCCCTTTCCTTTGTTCTACTTTCTTTAAGCTTTCTTTAGGACTAATCTCTCTCTTTAATGTCTTTTATTATTCAGATTTGCTGGTAAAGTCAGAGTCCCAGAAACACAATGGACAAAAACCTATACACATCATTTGTGCTGCAGAACCCCACCCTCACCCCCCAAGGCAAATTTTGCAAATAAGAGGCCTGGTGATTGACCCTAGACTCCTAAGATTTCTACTTATATATAAAAAAAGGAAGGTTGGGTTGGTACATATTTTCTGACTGTGGGAAGAACTTGGCAGATATGAAAAGGCAGGATGTCATTCCATCCTTAATTCCTTAATGAGTCAGCCCTTTGCGTGGAAAGGTTGGATTTGAATATGGCTTCGAGGCTGATGTGCAATGTATAAGAGCTTAAAGCCACATTTTAAACATATAAGCAAAATGTTACATCATTGAAAGGGCCCTGGGCCAAGGATTACGGGCAGCCTCTAGAAGCTGGAAAGGCAAGGGAACACATTCTCCCCTAGAACCTCCAGAAAGGAACACCGTCCTGACCTTGCCCCTCTTTTAGCCCACTGAGACCCACATCAAACTTTTGACCTACATAATTGAAAGGTAGCCAGTGTGTTGTTTTAAGTCACTAAGCTTGTAGAAGTGTTCGTACAGCAGCATTGGAAGCTAACACAATGGCATCTGCAATAGAGTTGTGCTGAGTTGTGGCCACAGGCAGTTCTGTAGAGGGGACCAACACTCATCTGGAAGAGGCCTTAGTTTTCTCTGTCTCAGCTGCCATACAAGAGGCATCTAGGCTCACTGGAGAGGCTGGGTGGCGGGAAGATTATCAGCGGTACATGGCCAGACCTATTATGCCCAGATTTCTTCTCTTTCTGGACTTCCCAGACCATGAATATTTCCCTGGATGCTGAATGTCAGAGACTTACCGTGTGTTTCCCCAGCAGTTCCATTTCCAGCCGGACACAGTAAAGGGGGAATCAGTAGTTAAGGAGGCTTGGGATCAGGTCTCTGCTCATCCGTTACTTGACATGTTGCCTGGGCAAAAATCACTGACTCTCTAACACTGTATTTCCTCAACTATAAAATGCAGAGGCTGCATGAGACAACATACACAATCCTTTTTAGTTCTAAAGTTCTCTAATTTTATCCACAAATTGCTTTCTGTTAAAATATCTGATATGTCAGTGATTTAGCAAACACATGGTTTGCCTACGTTTAAATCAAAGATGTGGCCGACACACTGAGTTCTTAAGTGAAAAGACCCATCTAGAGATCCCCATCACTTCTTCATGTGCTTGGAATTGCTTTGTGCATTAATAGGAAGAGCAGAATTTGTGGTGGTGAAAATGTAGACTCTGGGGTCATGACCTGTTACCATTTTCTAATGTGGGAGCTTTGGGCAAGTTACTTAATCTCTTCATGACTCATTCTTATCAGTTGTAAAGATGTAGGCGATAAGCGTATTTTCCTCATGAGGGTCTGTGGGATTAAAATACCAGGTCCTTAAAACATTACCTACTAGACAGTAAATATTATATATTTCATTAGTATTATTTCAAACCTGTGTAGTAATAGAATTATTAAATGATGTTTTTAAAAAGTTCAGACTTAAAGAAACTGAACCCTCCAACCATACTCATAGATAAAGAAGCAGAAAGTGTCTAGGCACCTGATTACCTTTCATAAAGAAAGGCCGTAAACATTTCCAGAGGTCGGGGTTGTTGTTAAATATGAGGCCGTTCTCATGCATGCCGACGCACTGCAGGCCAAGCTTGCTCCCAAACCGGGAGTTGTAGTGACTGTGCTTCATCACGTGGCACATGCTGGAGGACCTGAAGAGAAAGCAAACCTTGGTGTTAATATTTTAAGGTGTTCATTTCCAGTATTCAGATTGAGTGAGCACTTCTATTAACCTAAGAATGTCCTGCTCCATAGAAGCGATTATGCTCAGTGAAATAAATCAGAAGGAAAAAGAAAAGTATCAAATGGTTTCACTGAATAGGTGGCATATAGGGAAACTGAACAAAGGTTCAGAAAAAAGGCAAACTTGTAGGCAAGCCATAGACCTGAGGCATCCATCAGGGAACGAGGAGGGAGGGGCGGAGTCAAGTAGGAGAGGGAAGAGCACAAGGGACTACAGTGATGGTTACAGGTGATGTGGTGGTGGGAGAATTTTGGAGACAACACCTGAGGGGAGAAATCAAATATTGTACAAAAAGGACCAATGATGTAAAAAAGTAATTAAAAAAAAAGAATATCCTGCTCCAGTTGAACCACTTCTACCTACTAATTTCTTGTTTGACCACCACCAAAGATAGAGCGTGTGCGCACACACACACGCGTGCGCACACACGTGCACACACACACCATTCCTTATTTCCCTTTCTTCTCTAATTCCAAATTGCCTAAATACTACCTACTCCTGGGATTAGAGCTGTAGGACTTTAAGAAACTAACCCTCCAATCACACTGCAGATAGTGCCACCCCAGCAGGAGTGAGCTTCCCAATTGGGAATGGCTGGAATTGCTGGTCTCACGTCTTTAGTTTGCACCAGCAATTATACCTAGTATCACTCATCCCCAGAGTGTCCAACCAGACCCCCCAGTGGGTATCATTCTCTTCTTGAAGGACATCTTCTGAGCACTTCCTCTGGCCTTGGGCTTGACTGGCTGGGCTGCACCCAGGCCATCTCTGTGGTGGTGACAGAACTATCTTGGGGCTCTGCATTCCATCATGGTGCCTCCAGCTCTCCAGGGATAGAGTTCTCTCAGGATTTTGTAAATGAGACTTCAGTTATCCCTTGACCTGGCCAGCCTGGAACTTTGCTAATAATTCAGACTTTCTTGAAATTCCGGGCTCCTCCTCCACTGTTCTGCTTCTATCCCCACCACCACGCCCAGCTTTGAAAGTCTTAGAACCTTCAGAAAAACTTTGAAGGAGGAGGCAGCTCCTCTGTCTCTCCTGTCCCAGCTCATTTTTTCCTCTAGGAGCTGCTTCCTGCCCCCACATCTCTTCAGTTTGGGCCTGATGAGGTACTGAGAGTTATAAAATGCTGTAAAATTCTAGCTGAAGAAATTATAGGGGGCCTGCACATGTAGGGGAATGGTGTCTTGTTAGGATAGCAAGTACAGAATTCTGTAGAGACAGACTCATTTTGTTGAGAAGATGTGTAGTGAGGCTGCTTATAAGTCAGCCCATGGCTTTGGAAGGATCAATGGATAATTTAAATAATTTAAACATTGAAAGGATAATGGATAAGAGAATATTAGTCTCTTCAGGATAAAGGGCGGAAGTAGGTTTATTGGACAGTGAACGCAGGCACAGGGGAGAGAAGAGGAAAAAGAATTGGGGTGAGTATTTTGTGTGTTAAGGATTTGGGGAGGAGAGGACTCCTGGTTCATTGCTCAGCAAAAGTAGGATTTGGGGAGGAAAGAAATCTTTTAGGAATTTATGAAGTTGAGAATTGTGGGATGGATGGAATACGTTCTTTTTCACCTACTAGAGAAAAATTAAGAAATGCTGTAAGTGACTGCATTTCCTCTGGAAAGGGGCCAAGTTTGGGAAGTAGGTTATCACAGGGCTGGGAGGGAAGCAGGCTGCCTGGCAAAGGGCTAAGTGATGACTGTGGCCAGAAAGAACGTGGGAGGGGAAACCAGAAGACTAAGATGTCATGAGTTAATAAGTTGTGTGGCTAACCCTGCATATGGTGAGCAAGGTGATAGGTGCAGGAAGACAAATGGGATATTGTTTTTCAGAAGATAGAGAATACTAAACAGCACTGTGATATTTCATGGAACAGGACAGGGAGTTACAGGCATTCAGACCCCAAAATCCTCTCCCACAGAGCTGCACAGTTATGGTTCAGTGAAGAAACAAAGGTCACACCTCAACCACCTGCCTCCATAAAAGTGGATCCTGTCCACTGGGCCAGGGGTCCTCTGCTTCTTGTGCTGCTGAGTAGACAACAGGACCACAGGGGAACACAGAGTCTGTGCCAGACACAACCAAGGTCTCCAGGGTCTCGCTGGTAACCTGTGTCTCCTGCTAACAAGTATTTTACCCAGACTCCCCTGCAGGGCATGACCACAGCCTGTTCACATTAAAGGTCTGTGTCATAGCATTTCTATGTGGACAACAGGACCAAATGTAATTTCACCTTAGTAAAATGTAAGCATTGGCAGATTACTGCTCTCAGCATATTTTCCTGCAACTTCAAAAAATCCCCATCTGAGTATATTCAAATTTTCTTAGAGATAATGAGAAAAAAAGGAGAAAGGTTTGGAAATTAAAAAGAGGGGCAGAGTGGTTAGTAGAGGTTTTCTCTAGCACCTCTATAGCTGAGGCAGGGTAACTGCCATTGGCCTGTATTTGGGCTATTTCAACAGGGCAGGGGCCAGGCCACGTATAAAAGTCACCCACCATCTGTTTCCAGTGGGATCTTCCATAGGCAGCCCTAGAGTGACGTAAGCCTTGTCCTTGAGGCTAGAGGGCTAAGCTGCTTAGATCTGCTAGGGAAGTTGAACTAGAGTCCCTACCCACGAGCTTTTTCCAACCAAGGATTAGAAATCATCTGTCTCCAGTACCAGGGTGGAGTTCAGAGCAAGCCATGATAAAATTAGAAAGGGGATAAGCATTTGAGCAGAGGACTAGAAAGAAAGCTTGTGTACCTTATTGCAGAAAAGCAAAATATATTTAAAATATCTCTTTGCTACTGCACAGGAGGGAAAACTTGAGCATCTTCTGGTGTGCGGGAGATAAATGATGGGGAACAGTTGCAAGCTGTACCTTTAAGGTGTGAAATATCACTGATGTGATCTTTATTTTAGATGGATTTTTGGGGGGATAAACTTAGTTTTTATATAAATTTTCAAGTCTTCACTACAACTTCAGTTGTACAACTTCACTACAACTTCCCACTTCACTGAAATTTTGTTCCTCTACGGTAAATTCTCCAACTATAGGGTTTTCTGAACACATAACCCTCAAAGACATGGAGTGGCTACCATATGCAACTGGTTCTTACACTGGGCTGGAGTGGAATCTTATCACTTGCTCCTCCCTCTCAAAGTTGACATTTGGCTCCTGAAAGTATGACTTTGCCTTAATGAGCTTGTTCAGTTAATGTCAGTGAAAACATTCCTGTAGAAGACACTGAACTGAGAGAACTTTGCTCTGGCTGACTAGACGAGACTGCAGGCCAACTTTTAACCAAACCCTTACATTTCTGATGGATTTCATAGTTCATTAAAAAAAAGTCCCTGAGATAATGGTAGTGTCAAGAAATGAAAACAGAATTATTATAGGAATAAATTATGTATTGACATTTATATTGGGAAAAAATCTTTTCAAAACCAAACTTTCAAGTCAAATATTCTCTTAATTTGATTCCATGTAATAGTTATCAAATGATAACAAGTGTTGGGCAAGTTTTCCTCTTCCTAGCAACAAAAACAAAAACAGCAATCCAGTTGCTTCTATTTGTACCCAGGGAATTTAATTTGGCTGACAAAAACTAAAATGTTACTCGATAAAGCGAAGTCATGCTACAAAAAAATCTAAAATTATTGCTAACAGATTTGAGAACTCTAACTTTTCTTTCCTTCTGCTATCTCATTATATATTTAAAGCAGGAAGCTAGTAATTTGTATACTCTTTCTTCACAAACTAATATCTAGAAATATTGAGTACTTAGAGGACAAACATTACACTTTTTCTGCTCTGACCACTAGGCTTCTGTCTCCTGCTTTATCCACCTTGCCCTGTCCATTTATTTTGAGGAATTACAAATCACTCTTTAAAAAAGAACAGGAAACTCCAAGCTTAAAAACAAACCTAATTAAAATTTAGTCAATAAAAGGCTAACTTTAAAAATCAAAGTTTTAGGTAGGGGGCGCCAACATCTCAGCTATTTCGAGTCAGGCTCAAATTGCCAAAGCACGAAGTCAGCAAGACAGAGGCGGTCCAGCAAGCAAAGTATGACTGGGTGTGGACTAGCAATTTTTAAAAAAGCTATTTTTCCAAAGCAGGCTGGCTTGCTTTACCCTGAGTGAAGCAGGAGAGTGGAGACCTCACACCTGGTGCCTGGACCATCTCTGACACTAGTTGAGGGAGGTGTTAGATTGACAGTTTGGCAGAGTAAGGATCTCTCACCACTGAGTGGGGACCAAGTGATTCCCCCCAGCTCAGAAGCAACATGGATAGTGTAAGTTGTCTGCTCGCTGGGGTCATCTGCTCTTTAAATATGACTGAAGTCTAACAACTTCTCTAAAGAAGGCAAACCTATTTTCCATACAAAATAAAAAGTAGCCAGTTTTGAGTTGAGAGGACTCACACAGGTATGATCATGCTCAGGAGTGATGAGCACTAAAATATGCAGGAGGCGATTAATAGAATAATTGGTACCAAACGTTTAAAAGCATCTGCCCTGTGTGTAAACTTGTGCTGTGCCTCAGACTTCCGTTCCATCCTTCCGAGTGCCTTTTCACTGTCCTCTCCCCACCGTTGTCTTCTCTTACCCAGCTCAAATCCTAAGGTCACTGTAAGAGAAAAATGAGAGCTGACCGTGACTAAACAAATGCTCAGAATCACTAACACTGGTGGCAGGACTGTCTTTCCTTGTCGCCTGATGTGATGTGATGTGAGAGGTCTAGTGCTACCCAGGAAGTGTTATTACAGAAGTGTTTAACCAGAGTACAGTTGACTCTTCAGACCCCATTTCCAGGTTATAAGAAATACAGGGACTAGAGGAGATTCTCTCTTAATGAAACATATGTTCAATGGCACCGTAATGAGAGAAAATCAGAATGCGGGACATCCTCTAAGACCAGGTCTCTTTAGGTCATTGTCATGAAGGACAAAGTAGGAGGGATGCTCTTTCAACCTGCCTGAGGATCTGAACATTTTTCGGTAGAAACCTGGAAAAAACATTGTATTGTCAGTCATTAAAATCACTCCTTTTGATGTATCCTCAACTCCCTTGACCCACTCTTTACTTTGTCCCAGTTACTGGGTGAAACCACAGTCCTGGCCAGATCCAACTCTTAGCTTACTCTCTGCTTGTCCCTGGCAACCTGAATGGAATTGGGGGGAAACTCATGTGCTCATGGCCGTTTATTGTGCACAAGTATGTGAACAAGTGGGTGTGTACACACACACATGCACACATTGACAGGTCTGTTAGGTTCACCTGGGCCCTTAGAGCAGCTAGCCGTGCCACTACATTTTCCTAGTCCATTCCCTCCGTCACTCTGCCGGGTGACTATTCTATCCTGCCTTCTGTGTCCTGATGTGTTCCCCTGCTCCCTTCTCGGTTTCACTTAAAGATGGTATTTCCTGCTTTACTGAGGTAATTGAAACAACTAGAAAGAGAATCCCAGAAAACGCTAACCACCAGGACCTGGAGCCCTATATCCACTCTTTCCTCCTGTTGCTGTGGAGGAACTTCCATGTCCCTGTTCAAGGCCACTGACACTTTTCTCCCGGACCCCTTCACATTACCCGGCATGCGGCTTTGTTCTCCTCCACCCCAAATTTTCCTCTATAGTTGATCATTCATTCCCTTACAACACATATGCTGTAATTTCTCCTATCTTAAAAAATAAAACTCATTGATCTGGTTCTGTTCTGCTTCTCTGCCTCTTCCATGGCAAACTACCTGGAAGAGTTGTCTACACCTGCTGCCTCCATTTGTTCTTCCTCAGTCTCTACTCCAGTCAGACTTTTGCCCCCGCTACACCTTTGACACTGCTCTTACCGGGGTTACCCCTGACCTCCCTTTAGCTAAATGCAACACTCAATTCTCTGTCCATTCACACTGCAGAATCTGGCATGGTTGACAGCTCCATTCTCCTTCTGTGCATGTGTCACTTGGTTTTCAGTTTACCTTGTTCTGCTGGCTTTCCCTTCTCTGCCTGGCTGTCATTCTCAGTCTCCTTTATTAGTTTCTGACTGCAGGGGAGGGGCTGAGACAGACTTTTCTCCTTGGCAGCTGTCTACTAGTCAAAATAACTGAATGGAACCCTGGTTTCTCCCCTACCCACACTTGCTCCACGCATGCCAGTTAGACAATGACCACATTCTCCCAAGTGTTCAAGGCAAAAAAATGGCATGATCCTCAGTGACTCTCACTGACCTACGTGACTCTCCTTGCCAACATCCAGTCTGTTGGCATCAATGGCTTTGTCTTCCAAATACGCTCAGAATGTCACTTCATATTATCACTTCTACTGCTCTCACCCGCCTGGCCACCATCATATCTCATTCAGCTGCTCTTGCTGCACTCATCCCTTGTTGGAAATGACCCTGCTGAGATGCAAATAAGTCAGATTTGTCACTCTCCTGTCCAGGCTCCTCAATAGCTTCTCAGCTCGTGTGGTTGGTAAAAGCCAACGTTGTTAAAATGGCCTGCAAGGCCCAACATGATTGGGCATCCTAGTGTCCTCTCTAAAGTCAGCTCCTCTGGTTTTGCTCTTACTACACCAATGTCCTTCTTGTGACTTTGCACTTGCTGTCCTCTGTTGGGGATGCTTTTCCTTTAGATTTCTCATGACTCACCTCTTCACTGTCTTAGGTCTTTATTCAAATGCTGTCTTTTCAACGAGGCCTGCCTGGACCACTATTTACAGTCACACCATCCCTGCAACTGTCCCTCCTCATCCCCTTTCTCTGCTTTAACTCCCTTTATAGCTACATCTGCCTGATCAGAGTGTGAGCCATCGTCCTGGTGCGCCTGAACTGTCCCAGCTAGCACTGAACACCCACATCCTGGGAAACTCTGTCATCCAGGCAAACTGACCAGACCACTGGTCATCTGACTGATAGACTACACATCTTACTTGTTTATTGTTGGTATATTAAAAATATATTTCTCCATGAGAGCAAGGATTTGGTGCTGATTTGGTGACAAGACCTGGTTGTGTATAGTAACTTGGCAGCCAAACCCCCTCCATTTTGAGACAGAAGCTCCCCTGGACCAAAAATTAGGATTAAGAATTAAATTCTGTCCCCACCCTGTGTTCTCTCCTCCCCATAAGCGCTCCCCCCCCCCACCACCCTTGTGATTTTAACCTTTAACTCAAATCTAGTGTCTTTCTTGCCAGTTAAGTTCCAGGGAACTTGAAAATTTAATTGTTACATCTCTATGGTGCCTCTTTGAGGTTGACAGTACCATCAAAAGCAAACACCTGCTGATTGCTACAGGCTGACAGCCCCAAAGAAACTCCCAGCCAAATGCCGGGACTCATGATTCTCCTGGGACCTAGAAATGGGAAACCCCCCACTCCCTTAGCCTCCTTTATTCCCTCACTTTCCTCCCCGCTTGTATAATCACAGCACTCCCACCATTCGGGCAGCCAGTTTATAGATTGTCAACCCCGCTGGCTCCCTCGCGGCCACCTGGAATAAAACTCCTTTGGTAGCTGACCTTCTTGTCACAAGACCTTTATGGGAGGTGAGCAAAAGACCTGGTTGGTTGCTTACAGTTACAGCTCCGTTTATCAACTGAATTCAGAATGTAATAAGGGACCTCCCTCATGGCGCAGGGGTTAAAGTCTCAGCTCTATCAAGCTATCACAAGCCACTGCAGCATGAGTTTCATCCCCTGCCAGGGAACTAACCCACCCACACAGCACAGCAGACCTCTTCTGTTTTGCCCGCTGCTCCCCTCAGCAGTGTATTTCAGTCGATCCTCCTGTTCTGCTCCCCACTCTGTCTCTGGTGAATCCTCTCACCCTCTCCCCCACCCCACCCCCCGCCACATGCCTCGCGCCTACACCCCAGTTCTTGTATGCATAAATAAATAAAAATAAATCTTAAAAAAATAGCGAAAATGTAGTAAGTAGAATTTATAGGTGTTGACAGGCAGATTCAAGTCAATAGTACCTTACCACAGTAAGTATAAGCTAGTTCAGTCTTTCTAACCCCCTTCTAAGCCTTTTCCTTCATCCCTGAAAGCCCCTCAAGCACCATGGAACCCCAGGTTCTCAGCCTTGTCCTATCTGCTGCTCAAGGAGCTACGCTTGGTAACCCCTATGTGGAGACACTCTTGTGGTTCAGAGCTTGGCTTCCTGAGTGGCAAGCAAAAGACCCTGTTTGGTCACTTACAAGTTTTCAATATTTAATGAAGAGCCAATGACTATGATGTGTTAGGACCATATAGTAAATAATAAATATATGCTGAAAGAATATATGAATGAATCTCTTGTGAATTTACACATAATAAAAAGAACTGTACAAATATGACCCTCATTAGCATGCTAATTTCTAATTCCTATTTATGGGTACTATCCATAATCTTTTTTTTTTAAAGATTTTTATTTATTTTATTTATTTTGCATAGAACTGAGGTGCAGGCCAGAAGTGTGAAGATTCACCAGAGACAGAGTGGGGAGCAGAACAGGCAGATTGACTGAAGTACACTGCTGAGGGGAGCAGCAGGCGAGACAGGAGAGGTCTGCTGTGCCATGTGGGTAGCTCCCTGGCTGGGGATCGAACTCAGGCTGCTGTGGTGGGACGTCATGGTAAGTAGCACTGAGATTTAACCCCTAGGCCACCAGGGGCCCCATATTCTTATTTTAAATTTCATATTTGTGACAAAAATGCATGTATACCCATAGTGTTATATACACCATCTGTAGCCCCTGCTTAGTTCAGCATGTCCTGCCCAGGAAGCTATACATGCTTCATCACAGACAACCAGACAGACCTTCCCCGAAGGCCTAGCTGGTTTAGGCCTCAGCCCTACGTGGCACGTAGGCCTCCTTTCCTCCCCTTCAAGTTCTGCAGCCCCCACCACTTCAGGAATCAGCGAGTTGGAAAAGTTGGGCTATAATCTCTACACAGCTGTGATGACTACAGATCTCAAAATTTCAAAAGAAAAAAAAAATCTGGTAAATAATTCAAATAAGAAATAAAAAGCTTTCTGAGGTCCAGTGGGGTCTTTTCAAGAGGAACGGGCAGTTCTGGAAGGCACCTGAAGAGCAGACAAGGGAAGGAAATGGGGACAAACATGTCCTATTCCCAGGGAGCTCAGCCCTTAACAACAAAATTGAGTGGCTGGGAGGCAATTAAAGAGAACACAAAGACTCCAACTGGAGAAAGCCTGTGAGGCCAGGACAAGAAAACAACCTGCGGAGCTGGGGGGAGGGACAGCTGTCTCTTAAGTCCATGTCTTCTGGGTGAATCAGCGCCTGATCTGGCCCGGGTGGCTCAATTCACTCTCCCAATTAAGCGCAGAGGCCAGCAGCCACTGCTCACTGTCATGAGGACCCTGAAGTAGGCTTTAAGCTCCCAGAGACTCTGTCTGGTGATCTAAGTGTCTCATATCTCCGGGCAGTTTCAGGTTTGGGCCTCTTTTACATGCTCCAGAGACAGAGTGGGGAACAGAACAGGCAGATTGACTGAAATACACTGCTGAGGGGAGCAGCAGCGGGCAAGACAGGAGAGGTCTGTCTCGCCATGTGGGATGCTCCCTAGCCGGCTGGGGATTGAACTCGTGCTGCAGAGGCTGCGGACAGCTTCATAGTGAGGTGCTTAACCCCTTGTGCCACCAGGGAGGCCCCAGACTTGCTTGTTTAGTAGGCCAGGGTAAGACTCAAGGGTATGGTTTTAACCAGTTCCCAGGTACGCTGATGCTGCTGGCCAGGGGACCAAATTTTGAGGACCACTGCACTAGAGTGGTTTTAGGACAAACTTAGTGAAATGACATTTCCCCCAGGAGCTACTTATGCTTAGTTGTATAAACATGGCATGCCCTAACTATTCCTAACTACTCTGACAGGTGCTACAACACCACACTGGATGAAACAGTAAAAAGCCCAGTCAGAAATTAAGGTACTAGATTGGTCCAAAATAACATTATAGGATAGTTTAAAATATTTAGAAAGATAATACATTTTTCTACTCCACTCTCTTCTTCTAGATGTTTAGTTCAAAGAACTGGACCCTGAGGATACATAGGATTTCATGAAATGGTATGTATAATCTTGGCTTAAAAAAAAATCAGTGTAATTTCCATTAATGCTTCACTAACTTCTGGACAATAGTCTGTGTATCTGAATGAAAAATTCTAATCAGTAAACACTTTGATCAGTCCATGTAGGTGAAACCCTGTTGGGGATTATGAATATTAAAACTCATTAGTGACATAGTACTGGCAGATAGCTTTGCTAAAAATCTAGTAAAGATAGCTGGAAGTCTAGTATAGATAGGCTGCTTTTGAAATTCTCAACTTTTTATGATCAATAAAAAAGAAAACTACAGTTACACACAGTTAATTCTCAGTAGAGGCATAATTGGTTAACCCTGAGTAACTTCAGTCTGCTAAAGTCATTCAGAAACTCCAGCACTGCAGAGGATGTGGCAGGGGAGGCAGGCATCATTTCTTTTAACAGGCAATATTGCTGCTGACTTATTTTGTATCACCCAGCAGGGACCCTGGCACCCAGTCAGACATAGCTCCGGGTCTGTGAATGGGTACTGCTTCTGCAGTCCACCCACGAGAAGCACCCTCCAGCCTCGCCTTGGAAGCACATTAATAAGTTAGTACAGTCAGATTTCTTTGTCTCAAGAGGTTATTTCTTCTTCTTCTTTTTTTTTTTAAGATTTATTTATTTATTTATTTATACAAGAACCAGGGTACAGGCCAGATGCGCGGGACGGTGAGAGGATTCACCAGAAATAGAGCAGGGATCAGAACAGGCAGACTGACAAAATACACTGCTGAGGGGAGCAGAGGGCGGCAGGAGAGGTCTGCGCGCTATGTGGGACCCTCACTGGCCGGCTGGGATGGAACCGGCACTGCAGAGGCTGCGTAAAGCTTCACAGCGCTGCGCTCAACCGCCTGCGCTTAGGGGAGATCCTCTTCTTTTTTTCCCTTTTTTTAAATTATTATTATTATTTTTTTAATGCTTGTGGAGATAAAACGAAAATCTTGGGAAAGCAGAAAAGATAATGCTTCTGAAGTACATTTTACTTATACCAAATCATCTGGATTCTGACTTTCCACATTCACTGCTCAGATTTTGAATACTTTCCCCACCTTCCAGAATCTTTTATCTAGTTATCTTTGGCTTCAAGCAAAGCCCAATTTTCTAACACTTGTCTGTAGTGTTAGATTTTTACCTGGGAATCACTCGCTTTCATTTAAGTAGTAAAAATATTGCCTGAGAAATAAAGACATCTAGGTAAGTTTATTTTTAAAGGAAATCCCCCAGCCTTGATTTTAAAAATAGGTCTCTGGTTAGGAACAGACTCACTTGCTGATAATGAGTGTTTCCTCTCCTCTTATCCAGACTCTCATGAATTCTCCGTACATCTGGTTGTAGTAGTTGCAGGCACTGCCAATCCCCATCCACAGGAACCTGCCGTGGGAAATGAGGGGCCCAATTCCCATGCAATAGCCAGGACCTAGGGAAGTCAGTCATTGAATCACAATCAGCATTTTAGCCACACAAAAAGGGCGACTGCTCTGAGTTATCCCTGTTCTTGTCCTTTTATATGTAAAAGTTCTTTTATAGCTGTTACATAGCGGTAAAACTCTTAAAAATGATTTTTGAAAAACCCAACAAGCTTAACATGAGGCTCTTCACTCCTCTTTGAGTAAAAGCTAGTTCAGAATGCGCACCACACTTGTTCCATTTGGTCTGGACCTTTCCAGTCTGAATAAACCAGGATATATGTCTTGCCATGTTAAACAATGTCAGTAAGCCTCAAAATCCAGTTTTTCACATCATCTGATAAAAAGAATGTATACCAGCACAAGTGACCAGCTGACAGATCTGTTTGGCTGCCTAGCTTTGTCTGAAAACTTTGGTTTGAAGTGCTGCTTGATAGTGTGGGTGGGTTAGAATTAAGAGCACAGTGTTAGTGTCTTTTTAACTGAGAGAAACATCTGCAATGTCAATGTCCACCTTCGTGTAAGTAGCATCCCTTTTTTTCTTTTAAAAAGGACTCAGTTTAAGAAAAGAATCTTAAGCTAATTCTCACTGGGCAAAATAAAGCTAAGAAGTAGGGAATTAGACCATGAATCTGGTTAGTGTCCAGCCTGAGTTTGAGTCCAGTAATGTAGGTTTACTGGAAAACATTCATGTTTTGCTTGTACAGATGGTATCATTGTTAGGAGCATAAAGTCAGTGAAATCCAGTTTTTCTCCCCAGTTCAGCACTTACTCAATGTGCAAGGCCCATGAGAAACAGAGACATACAAAGAACCTGGGTGTCCTAGCCAGAGCAGAGCCGAATCAGTTTCAGGTCTTTAGCGATTGTTATGTCAGCTTTATCTCTCTAACACAGAGATCCTAATTGAGAGACTAGCTCCAAGTTAAGATTGGAGATGGTATGATAACCACAACCAGATCCCCTAAGAGTCCAGCTGGACAGATGAATACTCTAGGAGGGGAACTCTTTGATAGCATATTAGAAAAATGTTTTGGTTGCAAAAGCATTAAGTTGTCTCTGCTTCTCAGATTTGAGAATGCTTATCTAGGCATGCGGTGATCGCAGGAGCCTCTTTCACACCCTAAGAAGAACAGTAAATACTTCACTGCATTTTTTGTGCAGATACAGCCTTCCCTGAAGCCAAGCAGCTGGGATGCTTCAGCAGCTGTGCTAATCAGGAAGCTGTTGCAGTCCATGCTCGGTACTGAGAAACCTGTGCACAAGAATGTTCATAGCAACGCTGTTCACCATAGCCCCAAACTGGAGACACCCAGTTTGTCAACGGTAGAATTGACAGTGAAACCACGAGCCGTTCATATAACTGAGTATCATTTGAACTGCAGCTTCAGTGTGGATGAAGCTTAAAACTATACTACTTACCAAAAGAGACAAGATAGAAGAGTAATGTAGGATTCGCTTGCTAAAATGTTTAAAACCAGACAAAAATTAAACTGTATTATTTGGGGATGTGAAATTAGGTGGTTAAACAATGAAAAGGCAGGGAAGTAATTGTCACCAAATCCAGAAGAGAGTTCACATAGAAAGAAGAGAGAGAAGGGTATAGTTGAAAAGGCACAGAGGAGGGTTGCTTCTTGGCTTTCTGGCTAAGATCAAGTGTGAAAAGCCACAGAGGCATCTGGGAACACTGCTCGCACTCTGTCATCATGGGCAGCGATGACATCTTTGTACACTGTTCTGTGTAATATTTAACCCTACATGTGATCTCAAGTTCTTTTCACACTGCCACCGTGTCAGGGAATGATGCCCAGGCAGAGGTGAGGCTCTGGGAGAGCGGTTGGGGGCGGTGTGTGTCCTTGTGTAGGGAACGCTACCAAGGGCCAGGTAACAGCCTGGAGGAAGAACAGTGAACTCGGGCCACTGAGCTGGAACTGCAGACTGCAGAAGCCAGGATGAGTCCTTCCTCCTACTGCCTCTTAAGAGTCCTCCGTGTGCTAAGTCATCTACGAATGTATGTCTTCTTTGCACATCCCTTCCACAGCCCCCTCGCACATGATAGAGCAGGGCCTCTCAGGAAATAGGGGTTGAGGAAGTTTAGGATCTGAGGCCAAGTTCATCACTTATGAGCTGTGGTATGTCTACCCTCTTTAAATCTCAGTTCTTCCCTTGCAAGACAAGCATAAACACACCTACCAGAGAGGTTCAGAGACAATACTGATGAAAGTGCTTTGTAAATTATAACTTACTTCAGGGCTTTAAGTCATACATTTCTTAGCTCCCTTCAGCTTCTACTGCCTCTTAGCATCCCCAAACCTGTAACACTGAGAACTCAGAACTCAGAGAAGTGAACTGAGTACTCTATTCCCTCAGATTATTCAAAAGGAATACAGATGCACTGGTCAGTAAGAGCCTCTCCACGAGATCCATTTCTTCACAGTCCCTTCTCCAACCAGGACTCATAGGGTCTCAGAGTCTGTACCACTCTGACCAGAACTCACATTTTCAGAGGGAAAACGTGGAACTGGAAACTCCCTGGGAAGCAAGATGACCACCAAGTTAAGAGGTACAATTTCCTGGTTGCTATAGACACACACACACACACACACACACCCCGCACAGCTGGGGAGCTCACAAGCCATTTCCCTTCTCTGTCAAATGAAGAGTTGAACTCCATGGTTTCTCAAACTTGGCATCATGGTTTGCCTGGCAACACAGATCATCCATCTCATGCTCAGTTTCCCTTTCTGCCAAACAAGCAGTTGGGTTCCTATCTGTGCCTCTCAGCCCTCGTTGCCATGAAATAGCATCTGGGGAGATTTGAAAAAAAAAAAAAACAAAAACCAACCTACATGATGGGGTTCCCATCTGGACAGGGCTGAGAACCACCGTGCCATGTGATCTATCCATCAGTGAGTGACAGCATGATGATGTACCCAGCCCAGGAGTGGTAGGCACAGTGGCCTGCCAGCTAGCCCCCTAATGCAGAGCTCCAGGGTTCCAGTTCTCACACTTGCCCCTGTAGGCTGACCTCCTCACTCCAGGGCTTAGTAGAGTTTTACCACCACTTGCAACACAGACATCTGGGGGGACTTGTTCAAAGCACCCCAGCATTCATGGCTGGTGACCTGGGAACCTGCTAGGTGCAGGAGAAACCTGGTGAAGAAGAGGTAGTGGTGGGGAAGGGGTCAAGGTGAAGACCGTGGAAGAGTCTTCCATCAGCCCTCTGAAGGAATAGGGAACAAAAATATCTAAAATTTCCTTAAATTGCACATTAAAGTAACCTAAAATTCAAGACTGAATCAGACAGAGAGGCAGGTAATTCTCGGGAAAATTTTAAAAGATCCAGACTGGGCATTTTTTATCAGCCCCACTCTCCCCCGCCACCCCCCTCCCAAGTTGTGATGGGCCCACAAAACTTAAAGTATATAATGACTGTGCTCTTGAAATAAAGCCTTATGGGGGCAGACTGGGGACAGAAACTTGCCTTGAGGAATTCAAACTGAAACTAAACTACAAGAAACTAAAGGAACAGTCCCGTATTTCCGATAATTCTGAATTAATCTGATAGTCATAGAGTGGCAAGTGATTTCTGCTGGAATTAACTGTATAATTCTATTCTACATTTTTTCACCCAAAGACCAAACTGAAGATCCTGTCAGGGGGTGATAGTCAAAGGGAACCTTAGTGTTCCCCCTTCTTCTTCCACAGCCCAGGTCCCATCCAGCCCTTATGGTGGTTCCCTCAAGAATAAAAGAAGAGTAGAATAAGGACAATAAATATAAGTTCAAGAAAGGGAGCAGGCATGGATGAGGAAACATGGAAGGAAGAAGAAAAGGAGTATAGAAGGCATTTCTGAGACATTCTCACCTTCAGAGCAAAATTGAAATGAATTTGAATAATAATCATAAAACCCTCCTGGAATTTCACCTTACTCCATCCCACCTCAGGTTTACTTTAAAGGGCATTTGTGTCAAGTCTAACAAAGTTAAATGCAGATTGGAAGGGATTATCTAAGCTAGTTTTAAAATACTCTCATTTAAAGTGGGCAGAGAGGGCCTCCCTTGGTGGCGCAGGCAGTTGAGCTCTGCGCTGTGAAGCTGTCCGCAGCCTCTGCAGCGCAGGTTCGATCCTGGCTGGCCGGCAAGAATCCCACATGGGGGGCTTCCCCGGTGGCGCAGTGGTTGAGCGCTGGGTTGCGAAGCTGCCCGCAGCCTTTGCTGCGCTGGTTCGATCCCCGGCTGCTCCCCGGCCACCGGAGGAGGATCCCACATGGCGCGCAGACCCCTCCGGCTGCCCTCTGCTCCCCTCAGCAGTGTACTTCAGTCCTTCTGCCTGCTCTGCTCCCCGCTCTGGCTCTGGTGAATTCTCTCACCCTCCTGCGCTTCTGACTGTACCCAGTGCTTGTATAAATAAATAAACAAATCTTTAAAAAAAAAAAAAGAATCCCACATGGCACAGCAGACCTCTCCTGTCTCACCCGCTGCTCCCCTCAACAGTGTATTTCAGTCGATCTGCCTGTTCTGCTCCCCACTCTGTCTCTGGTGAATCCTCTCACCCTCCCACACCTCTGGCCTGTACCCTGGTTCTTTTATGTGTGAATAAATAAATCTTAAAAAAAATAAAATAAAGTGGGCAGAGAATTGGTATAAAAATTTTAGTTGTAGCAAATGCTATATTGCCATCGCAATGTTATTCTTTACCCTCATGGACCAGATGCGTAAGTCAGCAACCTCCTAGGACTAAATACTGACTCACCTGGTATTGAGGATGTGCCCTCGTAATTCCAAACCAGGAGGAGAAAGCCGGTGAGCAGCAGGATGGGCATAGTGGCCGCCGGCATGACTTCGGGCACCATGCTGGTGATGTTATAGTGAGTTGGGTTCAGCATTTCCAAAACCATCTTGTAATCTTGGATTCCAGGGAAAGAAATGTAAAGTCCTGTGGAAATCAAAGGGGCAGGAAGAATGAGCGCATCCTTTCATAGCTACATCAGGGACTCCTCTTGCTTCAGAGGATGCTTTCTGTAGTGATTGGTGCTTCATTTTGTACTGTGATTGGCCACAATGACAAGACAAATTTGTGGTTACAAGTCAAAACAAGCAAGCCCAAGAGAAATCTTTTGGCCTGAAGTGCAGCATTTCTGACCTTGGTAGAGTCTCAGGTTCGTTTAGACGCTTGGTCTGATAGAACCTTATCATCTTGCCCTTGAGTGGGTAGAGTGACTGAATTCCCAATTAAGAGCCAGATTTCTTACCAAAATACAAGAAAATGAAGCACATTCCAGAGGTGGAGTCGTTTCATGACTTCATCAGAATATTTTGTTTAGGCATTTTTTTTTCCCCCTGAAGTCAAATCAATTTTTAAAAAATGCAATCCCCAACCAGCTTTCTTGCTCAAAATTACTTCCCCCAAAATAACAAGCTTCTCCAGCAAGGTGTTCTTTGTGCATTGTTGAGCAACTCTCAATCTCCCATTAGGTTGTCTACTAAATTCAATGCAACTCACCCAGGACAATTATTTTTTATTGATTGAGGTTCTAAAATCTCTTGGACTTGGACTGGAGTAAGCAGTGACCATAGGGGTCAGCATCAGAAGTAGATCAGGCGAGAAAGACTAGAGGGAGAAAAGAAAGGCAAGGGATGGGGAAGGTACAGAGAAGAGAGGACCAAGAAAGCCACTCGCATTGGTCTCAGGTGCCCTCCAGCAGCTTCACTCCCCACAGCTGCCAACCTCCCGCGCAAGACAATTTCAGTTTGATTTGCTGGTTCTGTTGACGTTTTTCACCACCATGTAATGTTGAGTTTGTTTTTTTCAGTATGGTTTTGTAATGCCTGCACCCTCACAAGAGAGTTTCCGGGATGGTGATTTGTTGAGGAGACCTAGGTTGAAAAGACTTGTAAACTGAGCAGAGAGCAGCCCATTGAATGCAGTTCCCAGGGGCAGCTGACTGCTAACTCCCTGGGGTACCTTCCCATGGAAAGCGCCCCAAGTTTCTAGGACTCGCAGAGTTCTGAAATAGACCTTGACTGGGTCTGACTTGGTACTAAAGATCCATTTTGGGCAACTGCAGAAATTTTACAATATAAGTGAATTCATGCAGTTGCCTGATTCACTCTACTGTTCTACCAATTTGAGTAACTATGAACAGTTGAATTCAAGGCACTGAAAATGCCTGATTTTTAGGCATTTAAATATACATACATATAAAACATGTTTTTTATATATAAAGTTTGAAACTGAAGTGTCATCAGTGTGTCTTTTATCTCCTAGCTCCTCCAGTTACTCTAGTCAGTAACTGCTGCTTTGAACAGGCCGAGCCGAATCAGTTCTTTGTGACTCTGACAGAAAGGACCCTCGAGGTTTCTATTTCTGTTGATGAAACCTGCAACCACTGTTAAAAGCATAAATGAAGAAATTTACAAAGGAAGATGTTCCAGAGGAAGTGATGCCAACGAAAAACCTCATATGAAACATTTCCCAACATTGAAAACACAAAGGATAAAATATTAGAAGCTGACACACATTTATGAAGGCGCACGACCACCCTCCACAGCACAGAGAAGTCTCTGCTTCCGAAAGGTAAGTTATATGCAGACCCTAACTGTTTAAATACTTGACGTTTTTTGCAAAGAAGGAAAACACTTAAAGAATTGCAGTGTTTCTAGTGTTTCAAATTATAGTATATGAGATTACCTATCTTACTATTTTACAAAAATCTCTTACAATTAAAACAGCGAGGAAATGTTTAATGTTTTGACCAAAATTTTAAAAGTCATGAAGCAGTTGTAACTTTCTCTTGATTTTTAAAATTACTGTGCAGTTTCAGCTTGCATAGTCATTTTCAAGGTCCTGCACCACAGTGCAGAGGGAAGGCTGCCGGCATGTCTAAATGCTTAAAGGCACTAAGAAGCCTGGTTCCTGATCTTCCTCAGAAATATGTTCTAGAGACCTCCCCAAAGCACCCTTTAAGGTCCCAATAGGATGAGAATTTTTTTAAACACTTATCAAGGTATTTGTGATGTGTCAGACATCGTTTCAAACTTTAGAAATATTAAGCCATTCATCCTATAAGCTAAGTATGATTATCCCTCTTTTACAGATGGGGAAACTGAAGTGTGGGGATGTTAGGGGGAAAAGGATGTCCTAAAGCTAATTCCATACAGGCTTTGTGGACTCCACCCCCACCCCAGACCAAAGACTGCCCCAAGTCTAAAGCATCTTCCAGTGGGGACCCGCAGAAAAGGGTCAGAATCAACCAGACAAGCCCAGAAGGAAAAGAGCAAAATCAACATCAAGATAAAAGCTGCCATTGTCACCTCCCCACGGGTCGACCAAAAGACAAGCTCAGTTTCTTCACGTGTCTCTAGGCTCCATGCACCTCTTCCAGGTCTCCTTCTGGCTCCATCCTGCTTCCTTCCTTCCTCAGTCTCCTCTGCAGCTTCTTCTTACCCTGCTTAGCTCCACCCTCCATTTGGTTGGGGCAGGGAACCTGAAACCTCCCCCTTTCCTGGGGACCACCCTGTTACAGGTATGTGGCTTGCCCTAGGTGTCCCAGCTTGTTTGTTGTAGTCCACGTGCTCTGTTGCTGAAGCCCATGCTCTTTTTTTTTTAAAGATTAACTTATTTTGATAGAAGAGCTGGGGCATAGGCCAGAGGTGCAGGAGGGTGAGAGGACTCACCAGAGACAGAGTGGGGAGCAGAACAGGCAGACGACAGAAATACACTGCTGAGGGGAGCAGTGGGCGCAACAGGAGAGGTCTGCGGCACCATGTTGGATTCTCGCTGGCCTGGATTGAACCCTGAGGCCGCGGCCAGCTTCACAGCATGGCGCTCAACCAGCTGCACCACCAGGGAGGCCCTGAAGCCCATGCTCTTAATTCTGCCACTTAACTGCTTTTTTTATGGATTCATTTGGTCCTGTATTTAGGAGTATTTCAGTCATGTCTGTTCATTCCTAGGCTCTTCAGATTATTTCCTTTAAAGAAATAAGCTACTCAGGTTTCTGAATGCCACAGCTGGAAAGATCTTTTGAATTAGTCTCTCTTCCTTTTGCGTTGCTTTTCCTGTCAGTAGAATACTCTGGTGGGCCACATTAACGGGGTGAAAAGAGGCCTTTACATATGGTATGAGAATGTAGGAAGGCCCTAGAACTTCATAGTGGTTGCTTATATAGCCTCTGTATCAGGAAGACTCTTCCTTCACTCACAAATACACCTGTGCACACCCATGGCCCTCAAACTGTCTTCAAAAGCCATTTTAAATGCCTGAGTCTCCAGGTACTTATTTGCAGGCTGCTCTCCACTCACAACTTGCTGGGATATCCCCCTGTGGGCCTGGGACCCAACAGGACTTGGGCCACCTGGAACGAGGCTTATGCTCCTGTGCAGTGTGGAGACACAAGCATTCTGACACCTCCACTAATCTGAGGGTAAGGAAATGCCAGTCCTCCTCAGAGTACCCAGTCTGGACTGAGACCAAGCCCACTAGGGTCACAGCAGACCCCTGGGGACCTAGAGGACAGTGCCAGGAGGGATGACCTTCTGCAGGCTGGGACAATAGAAGTACAGTCTGACCTGGCCAGAAGGTGCCAAATCCTACCTTGCAGCATGGGGTCTTCCATCCAGCAGAGATGACCTTGTGTCAGAGAGCCAAATGCAAAACTCTATCTCCCTCTTTATTCCTTTCTACACATCTGGCCTATCTCTCTGTCACACCCCTACTCCAGGAGAAACAAGACTCACCCAGCTAGGTTCTCTTTTCTAATCTTCCTATTGGACCCCACAGAGGAGGCTGCCTCTGGCGGTTGTTGATAGATGTCACCTCAGCCCTCAGGGACTGATACACCGGATTTTGGAGGGAGAGGTACGGCCTTATTGAAGGGTTGTGCAAGAAGTATGAACCTCCAGTTGAGGGCAGGAAGTCTTGTGGCTAGGGAGCAGCATATCCCAGCTGCTTATTGGGATTGGGGTTGTGGTGGTAGGAGTTGGCAGGGGTGAACATGAAGCCAGGCAGAAAAGATCAGCAAGGAACAGAAAGGAGACTAGTGACCCAGGGCTCAACAGCGCGTGGGGTGCACTGGGCTGGAGATGGTGGGAGAGGACATTTGTGCAGAGTCCTTAGGGACACATTAAAGATGTCAGAATTTGTCCTCATGGAAATAAGAAGCCACCGAGGGACTTTAAGCAAGGGGTCAATAAAATCGTATTTGCATTTTGACAATTGAAATCTCTCTGGCTGCATTGAGAAGAACATAAAGGGGAATGATCTTGGGAGTGGAAGAACAGCAGAGGGTTTCATGGCTTGTCAGGCATAGAGGGAGAAACTTCAAGTCCCGCTGCAAACAGCAGCCTATGTGCTTCGGCCGCTGTTCTTTTCTTGGTCCCGGTCTCTCTAACTTTGTCTCTGAAGCCCCAAGTGCCTAGTGAACTTCACCATTTAAATGTCTCACCGGGGCATCCCTGGTGGCACAGTGGTTGAGCGCTGGGTTGCGAAGCTGCCCGCAGCCTCTGCAGCGCCGGTTCGATCCCCGGCTGCTCCCCGGCCACCGGAGGAGGGTCCCACATGGCGCGCAGACCTCTCCTGCCGCCCGCTGCTCCCCTCAGCAGTGTATTTCGTCAGTCTGTCTGTTCTGCTCCCCGCTCTGGTGAATTCTCTCACCCTCCCGCGCTTCTGACTGTACCCAGTGCTTGTATAAATGAATAATCTTAAAAATACATATTTTTAAAAAAATACATGTCTCTCCGTCACTCTTCATTGATGTCTAAAACCAAATCCATCGACTTCCTCCTCCTTCCCCCTCACCCTTCTTACACCTCTTTACCCCAGTCATTACACTTCAAAATCTTGGTGTTAAATCAGTTTAACTTCTTGCCCTTACTTTCTTAACCAGATCCATCCCCCATTCCAGTCACAGAGCTTTAGGGATAATCCTTAAGCATGTTTTGTCCTTGGAGTTAGTTCCCTGAGTTTTCTTTATCTTCTGGTCCATGTCTTAATTTTCCTCACCGTCTGTAACCGTGAACTCTGCTCTCTTGTGATCAAAGCTTATTCTCAGTGGTCAGTGGAGGGCAAATTTAAACGTGCCTTCTAGATGCTGGTGCCCAGATCACCTCAAACACTTAAAATTCAAGTGTTTTCAAAAGTCGAGGAACGTTTGTTTCACAGTAGAGTTTC